TCCTCCTCCTCCTCCTCCTCCTCCTCCTCCTCCTCCTCCCTCCTCCTCCTCCTCCTCCTCCTCCTCCTCCTCCTCCTCCTCCCTCCTCCTCCTCCTCCTCCTCCTCCCCTCCTCCCTCCTCCTCCTCTCCTCCTCCTCCTCCTCCTCCTCAACCTCCCATCCTCCTCCTCCTCCTCCTCCTCCTCCTCCCTCCTCCCCTCCTCCTCCTCCTCCTCCTCCTCCCTCCTCCTCCTCCTCTCCTCCCCTACTCCCCCCACCCCCTTGTGCGCGCCGCCAGAACATGAAAGCTCGGAGGCCCGCGCGGATTATTTCTCGGATCCGCGCTGGGGGCCCCCCGGGCGGCGCCCTCCCCGCGCCGCCCCCCTGGCGACGCCGCCGCGCGCCCAGGGAGGGGGGCCCAGGCGCCGACCCGAGGAATCCGCGCGGGCACCTCCGAGTTGTTATGTCTACGCCCTGCTTCGCTGCCCTGCCCTACGACCGCGCCGCCGCCGTGGCCGTCGAGCGCGCCACCGCCGCCTCCTGCCACGAGCGAGGCCAGGCATCCTCTCGGCGCCGAGGCGCTCCTCGAAGCCATGCCGCCGCCGCCGACCGCGCCGGCGCCGTGGTCGTCGAGGAGAGGGCCGGCCCCGCAGGGCGGAGCCTCAGGGGGGGCCACCCCGCGGGGCCACTTGCAGCACGAGGCCATGGCGATGCCGGCGATGTCGGCAGCGGCTCTGGCGGGAGGTGCTCGGCTAGGCGCAAGAGTGGCCTTTCGCCGGAGTGACCTCTGGTGCGGGCCCCATGGGGTTCCCCCGATCGCCGAGCGCGGTGCAGCAGTAGTGTCTTGCGCGCCTGTGGTTGGTCCGACCCCCAGAAAAGCCGCGCACCAAAGGTCACTCTTACCCAGGGTCACTCCTGCGTGTGACCGAGTAGGTGCCGATCCTCTCACCACAGTGCGCGTCCTCCCGGGCAGCGCAGCGGGCGGCGCCTCGCAGATGATCGCTTGGGGCAGCAGCTGCACCGTCCAGCCGCACCAGATCCCCATGTTCTGTCCGAGCAGCACTGCGGCGTCAGCTGTGGGGTACTGCGGCGCACTGCTCACGCAAGGTCCACCCGCTCACGGGACCGAGGACATGGATCTGGATCTTCCACCTGGGGCTCGTGTCGGGGAAATGGCATGACAGCTCCCGGGTGCGATGCGGTAGATTCATTTGTTTTAGAAGACATGCGTCGACAATTTCTTCGACTGAAAGTGGGGGAACGAAGAATGACATAGATATGAAAAACTCGAAGGTCCGCGCGGATTTCTCGGATCGGCGCTGGGGCCCCCCCGGGCGTCGCCTCCGGCGCCGCTTTTGCCGCGCTCCGCGCGCCAGGGAGGGGGGGTCCAGCGCCGATCCGAGAAACCCGCGCGGATCTCCGAGTTTTTATGTTTATGTCATTGTTCGTTCCCCTAGAATGGCAAGAGTGGATCGCTCTAGGGACTTCTGCACACCTTGCCTTGGTGCTCTTTGCCAATCGTGCTCTTGCGATCTAGGGTCTGCGCTGTGAGTTCAGGCTGAGGCATGCCTTTGAGGGATACCCAGGGACGCACGCGTTGTGACACGGCATCGCAGTCCCGCTTGATTTTTGGAGCCGTAGCTCAGTCAAGGGGGGCATTATTTTCTATGTCACAATCACCCGTGCATGTCTCACTCCTGTTCTTGATATAGAAACAGCGCCAGTGGTTTACCCCGAAGCAGGTGGAGGGGGGGGGATCCGCCCCCTGCCTCCCTCAAGGGGGGGGGGGCGGGGGAGGTCGTCCGGACCCCCACCCCCCCTTTCTTTCTTTAAGAGGGGGAGGGGGGTTTCTACTCCATGCCTTTTCCGCCCGCGTGCGCTGGAGAAGGGGCGGCGGGGGGTTCGAACCCCCCCTTTTCCCCCCTCAAGAGGAGAGGGGGAGTTCCAATCCCCCCCCCCGCCTCCCCCTTTCACTTTGCGCTAGAGATGGTGTCGGTTTTCAAAGTACATGTTGCATTGTATTTTGCAATGGGGTTCGAATTTCGGTGAGGATGAAGGGTTAGGGTTTAGGGTTAGGGGTTAGGGTTAGGGGTAAGGTCACACAGGCTGCACCAGATCAGTTCCCCCCGCCCCAAGCCCGTCCAATAAGATCTACCTACGTATCCCCTTATCACGCCAATGCGGTCTTGCATCCTCTGCACCTTCGGCGCACATCTGGGCCGTCTGTGGGCGAACTTGGCGTGTGCCTGGGCCCTGCTTCTCAAGATGAGGCGATCATGCGATCGGCCGATGTGCACCGCGGCCCGCTTTTGCAGGGGATCACAAAACAAATGCCGGCCCCGGGCTGGCTTAGGGGGCCGATCGGGGGCCAGCCAGGGGGCGGTGAAAAGGTCGTCGGAGGTTGGGGGGGTGAGATCGAAGCCCAGACATGCGATGTCCTGATTGTTTCAGGACGGCGTCCCCGGAAGTCCCGACCCTTTCCCCGGGGCCGGCTTGTCGTCTTGAGTCGTTTTTTGACGGTCCCAGGGCCCGGCGAGGGCCTCGAGAGGCCGAAAATAGCGAAAAACCTCCGTCCTGATTTTTTAACGACGCGATCATGTCTGGGAGTGGAACGGAGAGCCCCCCACCGGGAGATCGGCTTCGGCTTCGGGCTCGCGTCGTGCGTGCGGGCGAGGCGAGGCTGCGTGGGCGGGCGAGAGGAATGGCTTGGCTGTGGCTGGGGCGGGCCCAGAGCCCTTGACCGCCCCTCCTCCTCCTCTTCCTCCTCCTCCTCCTCCTCCTCCTCCTCCGCCTCCTCCTCCAACTCCTCCTCCTCTTCCTGCTCCTGCTCCTCCTCCTCCTCCACATCCTTCTCCTCCTCCTCCTCCTCCTCCTCCTCCTCCTCCGCCTCCTCCTCCTCCTCGGTCGGTCGGTCGGTCGGTCGATGAAGGCCTCTGAGTCACGCGGCCTATCAAAGGGCAAGAACAGCCAGTGCGGCGACGAGGGACCCCAGGGAGCCCGAGACCCAAGACGCCCGGACAGCTCCCAGGCCGACGCACCCACCCGAGAGGGGAGACGCAGGGGAGGAAGAAAGAAGACCAGGAGAGGAGGAGCCCGCAGGGGGGGTGCGTAGGCCCAGTCCCCGCCCACCCCCAGAGCCCGCCCACGCAGAGGGCACCAAGGATTTCGAGCCACGCCCAGCAGCACTCGTGGCGCCCCTCACCTCTGCGTCGCTGTCCGCACGTCCTGCCGAGCCTCGGGCGCAGCTGCCGAGTCACTCCCGCGGCATGCCCGCTGCCCCGCGTCTGCCTTTCTTGCCCCTCTGGGCCTGGGCCAGGCTTAGCCGTCAGCTGCCTGCTGGTGCCTGCTCGCTCAGCGTGGTCGTCCTGTGGCGAACTGCGGCGCGAGCTGCACCACGTACGCTCCGTCGGGGCCCCTGACGATCTCGACCCTGTTGGACCAGTTCGTGAGGAAGGTCACGATGTCCGCTTCGCCCACGTGCCGCACGTCGAGGGGCAGCCTCCACTGGGCCTCGAAATCCTCCTCGAGGTTGGCTAACGTAGCTGGCCCTCTGCCTGCAGCCATCCGGTCCGCCAGAACGCGTACCACTCCCTGCTCCAACATCCCGGCCATCGCGGCGTGCTCCTCGGGGCGCGAGCTCGCCGTGCCAAGGGCCGCGCGCTCCTCTGGCGCCTCAGCTTCCTCGAAGGCCTCGGCACCCTTGTCCTTCTCAACGGCACTCTCTGCCGAGGGGCACGAGCTGCTCCCAACAGACTGCGCCCTGCTCGGGCCAGGCGTGCCGCGCCTGCGCCGGAGGGTGGAGCGCTCGCCGTACTCCCCGGAGAGAGCGTCCATCGTCCGCGATTGCTCATCCCGCGGTGGCGCTGTGGGTGCGGGAGGTTCCCATGGCTGCTGCATCCAGGGTGGCGGCGTCCAGGGCGGCGGAGCGCTGCTCGGGGCTGCCTGCGTCGGCGCCCAACCTGCGTCTGGCCCTTGAGCGGCAAGACCGGCTTGAGGCTCAGCGTGCTCGGTGGCCTCGTGGAGCGCCCGCGCCGCTGCCTGGCCAGTGAGGTCGGGCCTCGCCAGGGCCGCGGCAGCTCCGTCCGGATCCCAGTCCGCTCCGTTGCCTCCGCTACCGGCTGCCAAGGGCGCCGAGCCAGAGGGCGCGACCGCGCCGAGGACCTCCGCCAGCGCTTTTCCGAGGCGCGTGGGGCGGCAGCCCTGGTGGCCGAGGTCCCGGAAGGCGCGTAGCAGTTCTTGAGCCGCGCGCGCCTGCTTGCGCCCCACGCCGAGCGCCGCGGCCGCTGCGGCTGGCCTGCCGCGGCGCACCAGGGCGGCGCCGCCATCCCGCGGCCGAGGAAGGGGGGCGCAGGGCGAGGAGAGCTCTGGGGGCAGCGGCCGAGGGGGCCGCCTGGCGCGGTCTCGCAGGCCGCACCAGGCGGCGGCCCGGGCCGAGTTGGCGCTCTCCTCCTCCTCCTCCTCCTCCTCCTCCTCCTCCTCCTCCTCCTCCTCCTGCCTCCTCCTCCTCCTCCTCCCCTCCCCTCCTGCCCCCTCCCCCCCTCCTCCTCCTCCTCCTTCCTCCTCCTCCTCCTCCTCCTCCTCCTCCTCCTCCTCCTCCTCCTCCTCATCCCTCCTCCTCCTCCTCCCTCCCCCCTTCCCCCTCCTCCTCCTCAACCTCCTCCTCCTCCTCCCCTCCTCCTCCTCCTCCTCCTCCTCCTCCTCCGCCTCCGTCTCGCCTCCCTCCTCCTCCTCCTCCTCCTCCTCCTCCTGCCTCCTCGCCTCCGCCTCCGCCCTCCTCCTCCTCCTCCCTCTCCTCCTCCTCCTCCTCCTCCTCCCTCCTCCTCCTCCTCCTCCTCCTCCTCCTCCTCCTCCTCCTCCTCCCCTCCTCCTTCCTCCTCCTCCTCTCCTCCCTCCTCCCTCCTCCTCCTCCTCCTCCTCCTCCTGCTCATCGACCCTCGTTCGACGATTACGCCGCAGACGCAGACGACGGCGGCGGGCGAGCGAGCATTCCCCCGCCGCCCGCCTGGTGCCGCGCCGCTTGCCCGCCCCCGCGCCGCACCAGCGGCAGCGCCAGCTGCCAGCCGCCGGGGGGCGCCGCCCCGCCGCGCGCCAGCGCGCAGCCCTCCACTGGCAGCTCCCAGCCGCCGCTGCCCGCCGCGGCGGCAGTGGCCCGCTGGAGCAGCACCGCCACCTCCTTGTTTTGGCGGCGAGCGAGGGGGGAAATGAGAAGAAAGAGGCCTTATTAGAAGGCGGCGGGACTTCTCAGAAGCCCTCGCCCCTTCTGAAAGGTTTTTGTCTCTTCTGGGAAATCTTATGAAACATCTCAGAAGGCCGGGGAGCTTCCGAGACTTCTGAGAAGGCCCGCCCCTTCTCGCTTGCCCCCCTCGCTCGCCGCCGATTGTTTTGATCGAGTCTCAAGCGAAATGAGACCTAGGCTACGCATTTCGCCCCCTATAAGGGGCTCTCCGAGCCAAGTTGCCTACGGTGCAGCATCGAACGAGCAACGTCGACGATGGGACCGGAGGCGGAGCGGAGAGATGCAGTGTACAATGGGGGCTTGCTTCCACAACCCCCTGCTCACCCTCCTCTCGGTCGGGTGTTGCCGGAAGTGTCCCTGGCCCAGAGGTAGGTGCCCCCTAGGATTCCCAAGGAGGCCCCCACGGACTCCAGAGCACCCCTCACGAGGCCCAGGGGGCCTCGGGGGCTCCAAAAGGGAGCGAAGAGCTGGGGGCACCTTTGGCCAGGGGCACCTCTAGCCAACCCCGATATCAGAAGAAGAAAGAACGGGAATACACATAAACTTTTGGCGCTCCGCGCAGATTTCTTGGACCTGCGCTGGACCCCCCTCCCCAGCGCGCGGAGCGCGCCAGGGGCGGCGCCGGAGGCGCCGCCAGGGGAGCCCAGCTCGGATCCAAGAAACCCGCGCGAAGCGCCATCAGTTTTTGTCCCAGTATTCGAGACTCGGGGGGAACGAGAGGGTAGGGTAGCAAAGGGTGGGGTAGAGGATCAGCTCACGCAGCTGGTCGTCCTGGCGCCTCCTAGCGCCGGGGGAGGCGCCCACGTATCGACGGATGGGCCCAACGGCGGGGCGGAAACCAGCTGAATGCAGCAGATCTCGAATACCCCCCCTTTCCCTATCCTACCCTTTCCAGGGGCAGCGATAGGGGGGGACTGGCATAGGGGGTGACGCATCGACCTGGAATCCGCGATACATCGCCAATAGATCGGCGATAGGTCCCCGATGGCGAATCCGCACCTTCCTTGGCAGACTGGGGCTATCGAGCCCCCATCGGCTATCAATGGGCAATTGGGGATCGATGCATCCCCCCCTATGCCTATCCCCCCATGTCGTTGCCCCCGACCTTCTGGTCAGGCCCGATCCTCCAGCATCCACAGGCTCGGGGCCTCCAGTAGCAGCAGGAGGGGCGGAAGCAGCCGCGACGCGCGCAGGTTGCCCGACCCCGCGGCGAGGTGCAGCCTGAAGAACTCCTCGAACGCCTGCATCACCCTGCAGGTCCTTCTCTGGGAGAAGAGTTTTGGCGGCGCGCACAAGGGAGTGGGGGGAGGGGGGGAGGCTTCTGACACGGAGGCTGCTTCTTAGAAGGCACCGGCCTGACATCTGCAGAGAAAGCCCGCGCATTCTAAGAAGCAGGGGTGCTTCTAAGAAGCCTTCCCACCCCCTGCCCCCCTCTGCGCGTGGCTGAGAGGAGCTGTGCACGTGCACCGACCCTGGCTGGGCACGCCGGTGCTGCTCCCGGGATGGGGCGCCTGGATCTGGAAGGATAAGAAGATACCCATACAGTAGGGGCCCGACCACAAGAAACCTTTCACAAGAAGCCCAACCCTGAGGCCCCAGGACGTCCATGGATGTTTGCTGTGGGGACGTCACGTCTTCCACCGCAAAAGCATCGCAGCCCAAGAAACCCAGGGCACCCTGGATGGAGGCGAGCAGGGTGTGTGTCTTGGCATGGGTCTCCGCTTTACTGCTACTCCACGGATCTCTCCAAGGGTGCGTTCTGGCCAGGGCTTCGAGGCCAACCCAGCCGTTTGCGACGAGGGTCTCCAAGGAGGCCCAGTGCCAAAACGAGGGCAGGCTAGCGGGATCTGGAGGCCACCCAGATGGGGTTCAAATAGACGGGCTCGGACGGTCGCGCCGCATCGCCGGTGCATCGCTGATGCAGCGGCGATGAACGGCAGCGTTGTCGATGAATCGCCGACGCCGGCGTGGAGAAAATCCGGCTCCACATCGAGCCGCAACGCCGATGCATCGGCGATGCGGCGCGATCCTTCGACCCCATCTACTCCGTCCCCATCTGGGAGGCCTACGGGTACCTCTTCCCCCTCCAAGGATCGGTGTCGCAGCTCGCGCCGTAGCTGCCGAAGTTCGCCACACACACAGCCCGTAGTAGCGTGCTGCCACGGGGCTCACCACCGAGATCGGACACGTACTACGTTTGGCGCGATGCCCTCGCCAAAACGTGGCCCAACGCGTTGAGCCAATACACAGGGTGTCAGCACGGACGTTCTGAACACGGTGCGTGCTGCGTTTCAACACGGGCGTGCCAGGGCAGCTAAGATGTGCGCGGCCCCCGCCGCCCGATCCTGTCGTCGTCCTTGCGCTTGGCGCGTAGGTCCTCCCGCCGCCAGCGGAAACGCACGGACACCTCTGAAGGGGCCCCAGGACACACAAATAAATACACACAGATAAAAAGATTCCCCATATTTTCCCATACTTTCTGGGTTTCTGTCTTCCCCCCATTTCCCATATTTTCCCATATTTTCTGGGGAATCGACGATTCATTGTGTCTGTGTGTTTTTTTCCCTCCCGAACCTCGGGCGGCGCCGGCCCGCCGGCGGGCGTGTCGCCGGCCCCGCAGCGGGCGCGCTTCTGCAGCCGGACGACGTCCTCCTGGCAGCGCCTGGAGACCAGTTCCAGCGCACAGAAGGCGTCCTCGCGAGCGCACTCTGCTTATGGGAACTGCTGCTCGCGTGTCGCGTGTCGCGGCCCTGGCGGCACGCCATGCCGAGCATAAGCGGAGGGCGTGCTGCTCCGCAAGGCGGGACGTGCGAGGCTCGGGAGAGCTCGGGGCGTGGACGCCTGGGGGACGGAGAAGTGGACAGCGCGTGGCGCCGGGGCGTGGCGGGCCAGAGCGGGCGGAGCGGCGCGCGAGCAAGAGGTTCCGAGCACACCCCTTTGTCCCTGCCCCCGCAGTGTGGTCCCCACGGCAGGCTCCCGTGGATGTGCGCGATCCCACGGATTGGGTTCCGCGCGGGGCGTCGGCCCAGCGCCGCCCCGTGTCCTTTGGGGTCGCGGCCGAGGGGTGCGGACCGCAAGGCCGTGGGCATGGATACCGTCTTCGACTTCTCAATGAATTTCGTGGAGGTCGTTAGGAGAGTCTGCGCTGCGGGCGTCTGAAGGAGTCGGGCAACCTCGATGAAGGCAACGCTGTGAACATCTGCTCGCCATGAGGCAAGGCAACGCTGTCAACATGCCTCCAAGGCCGCCAAGATAAAGCCTACCGAGTCTGCGGGCAGAAAGCCCCCGACCTAGACACGAGAGGGGATATATATATAGAGAGAGAGGGCCTCCAGCGCCCGAATACAAACGCCTGTCTACGAAAGAAGCCCAGAGAGGAGGCATAGGAGGGGGAGGAGGAGGAGGAATAGGAGGAGGAGGAGGAGGGAACAGACAGAGGAGGAGGAAACAGACAGAGGAGGATGAGGAGCAGGACGAGCCACAACTGCGGCATCTGCTGTCCCGGCCGCGCGGGCCTCCCGCTCGCTGTGGGCCACCGCGAGTCACTGCAGACGTGCTCTCCGTGGCCGCAGGACCGGAGAGGCCTGTGCGGCCGCCCCGCCCCCCCAATTTTCGCTTGGGAGAGGGGGCAGTGCCTCCTCCTCCTCCTCCTCCTCCTCCTCCTCCTCCTCCTCCTCCTCCTCCTCCTCCTCCTCCTCCTCGTCAGAGCGGACGCCGCTGCTGTCGTGGCATACTGCCAGATCCACAGTGAGAGTGCAGGGGCAGGAAGCCAGACCCTTAGAGAAGCCCCACTTTCCATTTGCAACTCCCTGGGCGTCAGCAGTGGCCCGGGACGAGCCGAAGAAGCGGATGCAAGGGTGGCATTCAACAAGCAGCGCACCCGTACTATGAATCTTGACGGCATGTGCCACCTGCTCGCCCCTTGAGACCTCTCCACCAGAGGCGCTGAGAAAGGAAGGAGATGGACGTACTTCCCGCCCACGGCGTCCAGCAGATCCCGCGACCACTCGAGGGCAGCCCAGCGCACGACGGGGCTCAGCGGCTCGTCCACCCTCACCTCGCGCATGTCCATCTTCCGTTCCTTTCCTGAGCTTGGCGGCGCGCAGGAGGGGGGCGGGGGCGAGGGGGGGGGGTGCGGGGGGCGGCCTCCCGAGAGGGCAAGGGGGGGGCCTCGCAGAAGAGCGGCCCTGCCCCCCCCCGCGAGAGGCTCCTGAGCATAGCGTTCCTACGACTTGCTGCTTCTGGAGGCGGTCGCTGCCGGGGGGGGGCGGGGCGCGCGCACCAACATGTGGGGGGGTCCAAGCCCCGCCCCGTGCGCACGGTCTCTACCGCCAACCGGGGAGGAGGGGAGCCGGGTGACAACGGTTACGCGCCAGAGGACAACAAGCACGACAACCTCGAACATGCGCCTCAGAACAGCCGGCCACACGTGCATCCCGAGTGCCCCCGCTGCCCACCGACGTGGACCACCAGGGGCTCCCCAGTGGGGAAAGCCATCAACTACGGCGAGGGCACGAGCGACGTAAACCTGCACTGGCGCGAAGACCTTCTGCCCAAGCCGAAGGGTAGAAGGGCTCCCACGCGGCTGCCTCGGAGACGACGACTGGGAGTGCCTCCGAGGTGCCTCCCAAAGGAGGCCGCTGCCCTCGCCCGAAGCCCCCGCCGTGCGCACGCCGCCGCTGCGTGCCAGAGGCCGCCGTGCGAGGACTTCAGGATGAGGTACAGCTGGAGCAGCCGGCAGTAGCCCGAGAGGTACCCCCACAGGGGCGCCAGCCGGGCCCGCAG